CGAGTGCTCGAGGACACTCTGCGCAGTGTGTGCGCGGCAGCACCACGTACGTGGTCGACGCAGCTTCCAGTTGTTGAGTTTGCGCTCAACAACGCGGTGCACGCGTCCACGGGGTTCACGCCGTTCTACTTGAACAGCTTCCGTCACCCCAGAGGGCCTCTCACTCTTCGAGGAGACACGGACTCCTCTATTCTAAGTGGGGAAGAGGCTCGGAAAGCCCTTTCCTCCCAGGTCTCGGATGTGAGACCAGTTTCGCTGCGGAAACAGGCGGAATCCTTTATGGACACCAAGCTGAACATTGTCAGCAGGGTCCGCGATGCCATGGCAGCGGCCTAAGATAAACAAAATGAGTACTCAGACAAACATGGAAGAGGAAACGTAAGTATATTTAACGTGGGGGACTTAGTGTTGCTAGACACGAGGAACCTACCTCTTGACACTGTCAGCTCTATCGGCAGCAACAAGCTGAAACACCGCTTCATCGGACCATTCGCAGTCCTGGCCAGACATAGTGCGTCGTACACCATCGACCTGCCAAAGTCAATGACGACGCACCCGACGTTCTATGTTGGACGTCTTAAGCGGTACTTTGACCCGCAGGGGGTTGCTGACTCGCAGACCCCCCTTGACCCAGCTCCTCGAAGCGAGGGCCGGTCACAGACGTCGACGAGGTCGTCGGAGCAGGCACCCAAGCCTCGGTCGGAACGGCAAGGCTGCGGTCAAGACCATACGCCGGAGGGGCTCCGTACGAACGGACCCCGGAGCCATACGCCGAGTACGCTGAGTACGCACCATACGCGTAAGTCTGGGAGTGTGCCGCAGGCGGCTCCGGACGTGGCAACAGAGCCATGATCCGTCGGACCATGCGAAAGGCCTCGTCCAGATCGGACGAAGAAGCCCGGCGATCCACCCGCAGGTGCAGGCTCGCGACCTCTCGCTCCAACAGGTCCAGGCGGTCCGCAAGGCGAGCGAGCTCGCCCTGATTCCCGGCCTGGGCGGCAGCATCACCGCCAGTCCCAAGGCCAAGTGCAATCTCAAGCACGAGGACGCGTTGACGAAGGCGGTCGACCTCAGGGCCCTGCGGCGGACCCGCAGATGAAGCACTTGCATGAGAGTAGCGTTCCGAAGGCGCCGAGTACTCATACTCGTACGAGGACATCTCCGCCAGTGCTTGACCACAATGGAGAAGTCCACGACCACGTGGAGCGGATCCTTCAGGAGCAACGACGTCGCGGTAAGCAACAGCTCCTCGTGAAGTGGAGGGGTTATGCCCACTCCGAGAACTCGTGGGAGCCGATTGAACGGCTCCTGATTGACTGCCCGAAGGCTGTCGCAATCTGGGAACAGAAGCGGCGGCAGCTTCATAAGTAGTCCGGACCTTCTTGCCCGAACGGGGTACGGACGATGAATACATTCCGTACCCGCGCTCATCGTGAGCGCTAGAAGCCGCGCGCTTCAGGATGTCCCTTGGCAGCATGCGCTTGCTGACCAAGTGGGCAAACCGAACACGAAGATCACGCTGGTCCAGGATGCGGGACAACAGCTGATCTTCATGGAGTTCCCGTAACTCCGTGGGTGAGTACTTAAGAGACTCCACCCATGCCCAGAACATGTCCTCACAAGAACCCCACGTGGGACAGTTCTCGGGCATAACCCAGGGGTATTCCCAAAGAGGATAGAGACCACCCTGGGTCTCGGGCTTCTTACGACAAGTCGTGAAGTCCTTAAGGGAAATGCGGTGTGGCACGAGAAGCACACACCGAGCAGCCTCCAAGTTGTCAACGAACAACTGTTCTTTCTGAACAAGGGCTCGATCATAGATGCCCCTAGAAGTGTGACCGCCCACAAGGCCACGAGGAGCGACGAGAAGCTCTAAGAAGAGGTCAGCCCCAGAGCTCTCCTCGGCAAGGCCAATACCCTCTTGAGTTGATGGCAGCTCCCTGGCTGACTGCTGCCACCACTGAACCCACACGCACACGCTGGGCAGCTTGGAATTCCTCCTGCTGCTGGTCGAAGTCATTCAAGACCTCACAGGGCTCAGCAATAGCACCCTCCTCCTCTTCTTCCTCTTTCTCCTCCTCTTCATTCGAGGAGTCGAAGATACTCTGATAGGGGTACCCAGTCTGCTTCTCCTCGTGGAGTGAAGATTTCGTAGCCGTAAGCGTCTTAGAGGGCTTGGCGCCTTCGGCTTTGGCGGCCTTAGCACGCGCAAGACCCTCGGCAAGCGAGAGACGTTTGCGAGGATTCTCTTCCTCATCGCCACCGGCTTTGGAAGCGGTCTTAGCCGTGACGGCCGGACTCTCAGAGCGCACAGACGTCCTGGGGCTGTGATCACCTTGATCACTAGCGAGCGACTGCACACTGTCATCCTTGTGCTCACTGGGCACTGGGCTGTGCCCTCCCACAGAGCCCGCAGGAGCATCGTGCGTGCTCTCGGACTCGGCTTCGTCCTCACTGCCAGAGTTGAACTCACGTTCCACGAACCGAGGGTTCGGACGATTGTCTGAGGCCGAGGGCGACGGACTGCGGCGCTTGCTTGCTCGCTTGCCCACCGCCGCGTCACCCGAGGAGCCGATCGCCTCGGAGGCCACCTGAGTAGCCTCCTTGAGTGCCGAGCCTTTGCCGTGAGGCTTAGTGCTCTTGGCTTGCGCCTTACCGGCCGCAGCCTTGGAGCGTGTCTTAGCACCGCTCTTTGCTGTGCCACGAGGCATGGTAACGGTCGAATTGGAGACCTAGACGAAGAGCGCACAGGTTGCTGCTCGAGGCTCTAACTGTGAAGTGAGCCTCCGCCGCGCTCGCGCGGTCAAGTCGATGGTTTTCGGCTTTGAGAATGAGAGTTTGTGACGAGCACCTCTTCATTCTGATTGGTCGGTAAACCGAACCTAAGTGGGGGAGGATGTAACGGGGTACGTAGCCATAAGTGTACCCTGGTTACATGAAGTGTGACACCTCACACTTTAGGCGTATGACACGTCATACTCCGGGATATTTGGTACAAGGTACCAAGGTCGCTCAAAGCCAACCATTGGTCAAAGGACATGGCATTTCTATAGGTAACTTATAGTTTGTATTATACCCAAACTTTATCTACCTATAAATATACTCAGTTTTATCCTCCCCCTACTCTTCTTCATGAGACTGCATCACGCCGATATTACGCCGTCACTACCTTATTAGGTCACTTCGCTCTCTTTTAAATAAAGAGGGGACCTGTGAACTGCCGTTCACTGAAAGTTTGTATACTCTCGGAAGATAACTTCCCCTAGCGCAAGGTGCTGTGTGACCCCGTCACAGCTATCATCGCTGCTGCTGTCGTTGGCGTCTTCGATGCCAATTACCGCATACAGCTCGTACGTCCTCACCAGTCTACGGACTCGCACATAAGGTCAAACTAACTTTTGCTGCGTCAGGCGCAAGTACTGCATTACGTACCAGGCTTGGCCGCGTCCTGCGCACGACTCATGGGTCTTCAGCTGCGTCAGCATCGGGTGTGGAGCTCGTGTTCCTGGCGCAGCCGCGCGTTCTTTTTACTCCCGCGCAACTTTGAAATGGGAGGCTCAGAATGATCGTATTTAAAACAGATCGAACTTCAAAGAACAGATACGTACCTAAGACGGAAACGTTTTTTTTATTTTAGTTTCGCAGGTAATTTATGAGTTTGGGTAACGCAACCATAAAGTCCTTAAAACGACCATAAATGTCTCAATTTACGGTTGCGGTAATCACTCCGAAATACTGTACGAGTTTGCTACTGTGCCTTTCCAAAGTTTTGGCCAATCTGACCTTTAAAAGCTGGTCCAATGCAAGGGTTGGTAGGGCTTAGGTGGAATTTGAGGACGAACTGGGGTTGAATTGCTAAGCCAGACCACTAAATAAAATGATATTTGACCAATAACACTGTTTGATTTTGCCGACTATGATCCAATAATACTTGATTGTGGAGGCCCTACGCTACGTAAGGGCTCCGATTTGGTCTAAGGGGTACCTTTTAACAAATTAAGGGCTGGATGGCCAGTATTTGCCGGCCATTTACCCTTACGTAAGATATCCACAACAGAACGATTTTAAATCAAATATAGGTTCTCATTAGACATACGCTGACGAGGCAAGAGTATGTGAGCAGGCTATTGCCCGGCCAGATCAAATCGTGTTTGTCGATGAAACTTCAAAGGATGGAAGGTATTGTACAATATCAATTTTGTGACTGCTACATCTTACCTTGTTAATTTGTTGTATAGTGTTGCTATGGTTTAGGTCCTCCCTGAGAAAACACGCGTGGTCCGGTCAGATAATATTTGACCGGACCACGCGTGTTGAGGCTGCGTCAAACAAAATGATACTAGAGGAGACGCCCCGCTTTGTTTAGAGTATTTAAATCGCGATTCGTACTTAGGTTCATAAGTATCATTTTGTTTGACGCAGCCTCATACATGTATGTCATCGTCTCATTTTCGTCAAAGGGTTAGGCTAAGTTTTAGTCGGTTGCAACCGATCAGATACAGTTAGGACTCCTACGTAGGACCATAAAACTGAGGGCGTTTTGGCAGAAAGCACAATAACATCCTCTATTCTGTCGAACAAGAATCGATGAAAACTGACAAGTTAAATATTTAAATAAAAAGTGTGGCATCTATTCAATGAATAGATGCCACACTTCTTTTGAAGCAGAAAATTTTGCAGCTCGTGTTGCGTCCCGACAGCAAGAGCAAGGTCAAAACGAAGTCGGCCACTAGCGCAGTTTCAAGGCGGCTGCAAAACCATTGCCTCCTTCTTCAAAAAGTAGACCTGTTATTCGATGGTGTATTATAAATAAAAGGCGCCAGCAGAGCTTATTATTACTGTAATACTAGTAATAGCGATATACCCGACGATCCTCTGCCGGATTCAAGTGCGTGGACAGAAAAGCTGCTGTGACCTAATCTTTTGAACCAGAACCAGTCATTTTTACCGAGATCGGTGGATAAGTGTATGGCCAGTGTGCGCCTTGAGGTGTCTGCACCATGGCGACTGCACGTCGCTCAGAAGCTTCGTTCGGTGACGTCTTAGACGGCGTAGCAGTGGATGTGGTGGACTATCGTCAGGAGAAATGGTGCAGGGTTTTCATGCCAGCTTTGCGTACTTTCCACTCACTTTTCGGCCACACCGAAGTGCCCGAGGAGTTCGTGGTGCCTCGTGCAAGTCCCCCGTGGCCTGAAGCAGCGTGGGGCCTGCACCTGGGCCAAGCTATCAGTCGCAGTCAAGACACCAAGAGACTTTACAGTTCCCAAGTAGCAAAATCTCTACAAGAATTCCAGAATTTAGGATTCACCTGGAAAGTGACGAATGCAGCAGATCGATCTTGGAAGCATCAGGTGCTACCGGCATTACGAGAATTCCACCAACAACGCGGTCACACTCACGTCATGAGCAGTTTTGTCGTGCCGGAGTGGGAACCGTGGCCGAAAGATTCGTGGGGGTTAAATCTAGGGGCGATCGTCAAGCGAGTTCGAGCAGGACGCAGTTTCGTCGATCAGGCTACAAGAGATAGCGACATGCTGGACAGGTTGGGCTTCCTATCGGACCCGAGAGATGTCGAGTGGCAAGGGCGTATTTTACCGGCGTTGGTAACTTTCGCGGACGAATATCGAAACGATGAACCCATGGCGTTCGACTTTGTCGTTCCAGCGACGCAACCATGGCCCAAGCAGACATGGGGACTGGAACTCGGCATGTTTTTGAGAGACTCGCAGAGGAGAGAGCAGTATTTCGTACAGATTGTACGAGATGCGACGGTGCTGGACGGTTTAGGCTTCGAGGTTTGTCTTTCCGTCGCGACGTGGGAGCGCCAAGTTGTGCCGCTTTTGACGCTTTTCTCGACCATTTTCCCGAATCAAACGGCAGTACCCGTAGATTTTATGATTCCACACGAACGGCCTTGGCCGAGAAAGATGTGGGGGCTGAAACTAGGGAAAATTGCCGCGCAGAATCCGGATCGCATGGCTGCGATGATGAGCGAATGGAAACAGCGAAATGAGGCTGCGGAGTCGTTTTCTGTGGTGTCAGACAACAGGAGTATGCAATGGAAAACCAGGATTTATCCTGCTCTGGTCACGTTTGTGCAAGTGTTTGGAGACTGTCGACTTGGAGGCCAATTCACGGTTCCTTCCGAAGCTCCGTGGCCCAAGCAGACGTGGGGATTGAAACTTGGAGGTAGAATCGCTGACTATGTGAAGAACGGCTCGTACTTTCAGCAAGTAGGACAGGACGCCGATCGCTTGGACGCGCTTGGATTCTCCTTCAAGTTGTTGGAAACGCCCTGGATGCAACACGGGGCTCCGTTGGTCGACACCTTTTCGATGGCTCATCCGCGTACTGTGGTGCCTGATTACTTTGTGGTTCCATCTAAAGCTCCGTGGCAAGAATCGACGTGGGGGATCAAACTAGGGAAGCTCGTTCGATGGAATTCTCAGCTCATGACTGACATCGAGAGCAAGTGGAGAGTGCAAGTGCTAAAAGCTGTTGAAGTTTACCAGAACGAACATGGAGACATCAACGTTGGGGAGAAGTTCGTGATTCCGTCACAGTCTCCGTGGCCTTCGAAGACGTGGGGGATGGATCTATCAAGGATATTACAGCGTCTCCGTACTGGTGAATATTACGACGGCCATGTGGCTATAGCCAGAAATTCCGTCGTCAGACTCCAGCAAATGCTTCATCAACGTCGAGACGAAGCGTGGGAGTCCATTTTCATAGCTTTTAAAATGTTTTTCAAGAGGTTTCGACACTGCGACGTCAAGCCTCACTTCGTCATCCCGGCCAATCTGTCGTGGCCCAAGCCTGTGTGGAACTTACAGTTAGGGCAGATTGTCGACAAGATGAAGACGACAGGCAACTTTTTCTCTCACGTTGGTCGCTACGCGGACCAGTTGAGCAAATTGGGCTTCACTCTAACGTTCTCTAACGTGGCATGGGACAAGAAAGTCGCTCCTCTAATCGCTACGTTCGCGAGCCTTCATCCCCAAGACACGATTCCATGGGATTTTGACTGGGGGTTCACTATACCGGCCAAGGAACCGTGGCCTGAATACGCATGGGGAGTTAATCTCAGTGTTCTTGTGCAGTGGAACTGGGGTCGTGTAAAGGCGATCGAGCGTGATTGGAGGGCTCAAGTGCTGCTGGCGAACCTCGTTTACTCGTATGAGAACGGGAACAAGATTCTTCGAGATAAGTTTGTGGTTCCTTCTCGCTCTCCATGGCCTCACAAGACGTGGGGTCGAGAACTTCGACATATCCTTACGTGCGTTCAAGTGGGGCAGCATTACAGTGGCCATATCGCAATCGCTAATTTCCACTCTAACGAGGCATGTGCTGGCGAGAATGAACAGTGGAGAGCGAGGATTTTTCCTGCGCTTCACACGTTCGCTATGGTGTTCGGACACTGTTCAGTCCCGAAGAATTACGTAGTTCCATCGGAATCTCCATGGCCGAAGCAGACTTTCGGGTTGCAGTTAGGGATCATTACAGCGGAGATAGAGTCGAGCGGACTCTACTTCGCTGACGTTGGCCTGAATGCAGATCGGTTAGAGACGTTCGGCTTTAGATACAAACTGGCAGACACACCGTGGCAGGAACACGTCGCTCCATTACTGAAGATCTACGCGACTCAGTATCCCCACGAGATTCTACCGGAAGACTTTGTGGTGCCTCCAAAAAGGCCGTGGCCTGAGGAGCTTTACGGTTTGAGACTCGGGAAACTTATGGCGTGGTCGTCTTGCTTCACATGGAGCTACAAAGCCGAGCGATGGAAAGAGAGGAGAATGCCCCAGAATACGACACTAGCTGGAGAGTATGGCTACTGCAGAGTCCCCACTACTTTTAAAGTTCCCAGTGAGCTGCCCTGGCCCAAGCAAATGTGGAGTCTGCGGATCAAAGTTTATCTCCGTCAGCTGAACCGTAAAGGGGATTTCTTCTTGTCTGGAGGTCTGCAACAAGCTCTAACAAGCGAGGAGGACGTGGGGTTTGTCTTCAAACTCGCTATCGAGAGCGAAATCGAGTTTGGAGAGCCAGAAGTCGAGAAATACACCGCACAAGTGGAGCAGATCGGCAGGAAAATGGAGGTTTCGGAACCTCAAAGCTGCTTGAGGAAGCGTCCACTACCTGATGCGAATGGCCCGCGAAGAGAAGGCTGGGTCGGCTGCTACTCGCCTGAAGCGCGTAAGAAACGCGTCCAGAGATACCTGAATAAGCGACAAGAACGCGTGTGGGTCCGAGAGGTGAAATACGACGTACGCAAGAGCTTCGCAGACACGCGACTGCGAGTTCAAGGCCGATTCGTGGCTCGAGAGGACGAGAAAACCATTCGAGAACTGCTTAGCTTTACGTGATCCAGAGCTGGAACAAGGCGCAGACATAGACGAGGAACTCAGCTGTAGAAATAGACACAAACTTACCATTTTATCATGTCTGGTCTCGTGCTTAAACTTGCCTCATACTTGTCGTTTTCTTTAGTCGTCGGTGGTGTAGAATCGAAGGAAAACCTGCAGCAAACTCCACGCCAACATGTTGACGTCTCCGTCGTTTTTCTCGAATGCGTCGATGGTCGCGTCTCGTTTGTCCATAAAGTCACGAGGTTTGTAGGCAAAGAACGCGTCGACGCTGGGGAAATACAGACGCACGTCGTTCGAGAAGGCGCTAGCGACAATGGACATGTTGGCAGCAGGCATCTGCATGGCCATACAGGTCGTCGAGCACGCGGTACTGCCGCAGAACGCGATCTTTGCAGGCCAGTCAGCAGCTCTAGCTCCTGGATTCTCCTCAAAGTCGACGCCGATACCCTGAGCGAATGCAGGATACGCAGGGTTGCGAGTGCCCACAATCAGCGCGATAGACTTGGCCTGCAACAGCTTCGAGTGGTGGCCATGTGCGTGGAAGAGATCCGTGTAGATCTTGTGCATATCCTTGCTCGTCGACTGCAAACCGCGGAGACTTTGGTCCAATGTTTGGTAGATAGCGCAAGATCCCGTGCTCATGTGCTGCAGATGCTTCTCCGGCACAACTTGCGTCCCACTGGAGCTGTCACTAGCGGTGTCTGCAGTAGCATTCGGCGTTCGGTGGGCGTAAAACTGCACGTACTGGTCTACAAGTCCGTGACGCACTCGTAACGCGCCGTCATACGGGTCATACGTCGTCAGTTTAAGTCCCAGCACTTGGAAAACGTGTGTGTCTAAGTATTCTCCGAGCTTTAAGCCACTCAGTCTTTCCACCATGTACGCCAACAGCACGTAGTTCGCCTCTGCGTACCGGTAGCTCGTGCCCGGCTTAAAGGCCAACGGAGCGCCGATGAACGCCCCTATCTGCTGCTCTAAGGACTGCATTCTCTCTCCACTTGTGCTCTGAATACCTGAGCCCATATACAGTAAATGCTGGAATGTCACGTGGTCACATTCGTCGCTCTCTTGGACCTTAAAGCACGTCTGGTTCTTCCCGAACGCTCGCCAGTCTGTCACCGTCCAGTACTCGTCCACAGGCTTATGCAGCTCTACAAGCCCCTTCTCCTGTAATTGATACATGGCTACAGCCACAAGTAGCTGGACGTTGGCGCCCATGGGGAACACGCTGTGCTCCTCCATGGGCTGCTTGAAAGGCACATTTGCGCTGCCCATCGCCTGTTGCAGCTTCTTCTGGCCATTGTGACTCAGTCGCACGACCCCCGAAAAGTTTTTCGCGTGCTGATAAGCGTCCAGTAGCGTACGAAGCTCCAGCGCGCGCTCGTTACGCTGTGCAGGCCAAGAGAGCGCCACCAGCAGAAGAGTGAGAAGAGAGGCCGCTAAGAAGCCCACAGTGGCGCGCCCCACGGTCTTGGAGCGCTGACGACGCTGCTGTCTTGAGCGCTGGCGCTCGTGGTAGCTGGACAGCTGCTGCTGCAGCGAGTCGCTGGCGTCGCGGTTTACCAAAGGGAGCTGCTCGTCGTCCATCAAGTCGTCGGATCTGGTACTGAGGTGCCTCAGTAATATGGTTGTTCTATGTAAATGTGACGTGTGCAAACAAGAGGTTTGTATGGATCCGTTTAAGTGCGAGTGAGATTTCAAGATTCGATGGCGTTGTGTAAATGTCTGCGTGAGTATCGGACGGCGTTTGTAGAGAGCGAGGAGGTGGCGCTGGTGGAGAGTGATGGTACGGAGAGGAAGGAGGTGGCGTATGTGGAGCTGTATCAGTGGCAAAAGCAGCTGAGAACAGCGTTAAATGGTGGAGATGAGGGGCTAGTAATTGGAATCAGCTTGATGCCATTCTCGATTGAAGAAACGACGACGATGCTGCTGGTAGCGGAGGAGAAAGAGTGGAGCTATGTGCCAATTGAAGTAGAACTCTCTTTATCTCGACAGATTTTATTGCTGCAGAGTGCAGGCGCTCGACGTCTGGTAACGACGGCGAAGAGTCCACTGGCCAAATACTTTGGAGGTATCCATAGAGACGAAGTGGAGGTAGTTGAGTTGGCGTCAAGCTCATTCGGAGTTGTGCAAGTGGTAAACTTCTCGAATATTCTTTTCAATGATACGGAATTTGATCAAAAGCTGAAGGAGGACGAGGGTTTGGTATCGCCGTTGTATGTGCTCTTCACGTCTGGAACGACAGGAGAACCTAGAGGCGTCGTGGGGGCGAGAACTGGAGCTTGGACGAGGTTAAAGTGGATGTGGACGACGTATCCGTTCGATGAGAGTGAACGCGTCCTGCGAGCCACGAAGCTGTCGTTTGTCGACTCGGTGTGGGAGATTCTAGGTGCCTTCTTGGGACGCGTGCCGCTGGTTCACGTGCAGTCTCCACGGGATCCTGCTTCTGCACAACTAAACTTGAGAAGTGTTGTGCTTGATAACAGCACGCAGTTTCTGGAGGTTATTCAAAGTGAGAATGTGACGCGTTTCACTGCAGTGCCGAGTGTGCTGGAAGTGCTGCTACTACAGACGACAGAGAAGGATAGAAATGCTACGTTGAGCGGCCTTCGCTATGTGCTGAGTAGCGGCGAGGCATTGCGTCTTCACGTTCTCCAGCAACTCACGACTAATTTGCCAGACGCGACGATACTAAATCTCTATGGTAAGTTTCAAGAAAACGTTCTCATCTTGATCCCATTTCCATGTTTGAACTTTTTTTTCTTCGCTATTATCTGCAGGCAGCACAGAACTGAGCGGCGACGTTACCTGTATGGAGTTAAAGGCACCGTTCTCTTCTGCTCAGATCGCGCAGTGGCAACAACACGGCGTCCCTATCGCTAATCTCGACCGGTATGGGGTGGTTGGTGGCGATACGTCTCTCTTGCTCCTAGCGGATGAGCTCGATAAAAAGAATTCAACTGTAATTTGGCCGAAGAGGACAACAACGCGTAGTGAGGCAACAAAGGCGCGATCAAAAGGAATCCTCTGTATCTCTGGGCCACTCCTTTCGTTCGGATACATTGGTGATGGCCACGAAGGCGCTTATGTGGACTCGGACGACCTACCGGGCGTTCAAAATGGTATTAAGCAGGTACAAGCAAGGCGATGGTTTTGTACAGGCGATATCTGCTCTGTAGTGCAAGGACGGCTTTACTATTGCGGACGAAAGGACGATGTTGTAAAGATTAACGGTCAGCGAGTGGACTTGGAGGCGGTGGAGCGTGCAGTGGCCACGGCACTGAAAGCGACCGCGAAAGTTGGTGGTGATCATCGGATTATTGCGCTTGCAAGTACGAAGGAAGTTAGCGACTTCGCAATATTTCAACAGTCTGTCGTGGCTTTTATCGTCTGCGATGACACGAGAAGCACCGCAATAACTCGATATTCCCGGATGGAAACGCTAAACGCTTGGATATTTGAGCACTACGGAGCATTGCTCACACCTCACGAGATTTTGCTGTTACCGTCAACGAATGTGCCACGACTTGCTCACGGGAAAATAGATCGACGAGCGCTTGCGAAGATTCTGGAGCATAACAGGAATGATACCAAAAACTTGCTGACACCCGTAAGCAAGGGTGCAGTGTCGCCAGAGACGTTTATAGCCCAGTCTCTGGAGGGAATGCTTGGGATCTCCCTGTCTGAGTGCCTTTCTGGAGATGTGCGAGCTCGAACATTCGCAGATCTGGGCGGGAATTCACTGCTGGCGACGCTGTTTCTGCATCAACTCCAGCAAAAGTTTGGTGCGCTGTGCATTGACTTGGTACGTTTCTCCTTTTTTTACTATGGTCTGGTTCTAATTGCTAACAACGAGGATGTTGGCCGTCGCGTATCCTTCAGCTCGAGATGACGATTGGAGAAGTTCTGTCGATCGTGGATCAGCGTCAAAAGGCTACGACGGAAGAGATGAAGCGTCCAATTAAGCCAAAAACTCGCAGTACCGATGAGCCAAGCGATGGTATCAAGCGACGGAAGAAGACTCATCATGAACGTGTATCTGCTGACAGCGCAGTCGTTGAGCGAGCCCCTAGGAGCCAACCATGCCAACTGAGCTGTTTATCTCGCTACAACCAATCGTCTATGGGCGTCAACGGCATTTATCTACCAACATGTTACATCCCAGTGCCAACAGCTAAGCCGAGAGTTGTAGCCTCGTCGTCACCGAGCTTACCATGGGCGTTGAGAACTGCGTGGCGTGTGGATCTAAGAAAGTGCATCGATGCGTCTCCTCTCGTAGCACAGCGTCGTGACCACACAGACGCGGTCTGTTCTGCGTGGGCGATTGTTGGGTCACACTCGGGTCAAGTCGTTTGCGTCGATATACTGGCAGCCGGTCACGAGATCTGGCGCGTCACACTGGATGACCGAATCGAAGCCTGCGCAGCTCTCAGTCTCAAGCACGAGATCGTGTACGTGGGGACGTACGGAGGAACTCTATTCGCTCTGGACTTGCAGACAGGTGGAACTCGTTGGACGTTTCAAGCCACAGGAGCGATCAAAGCTTCTGCCGTCGTGATGGAGCAACAAGAATTGGTCGTGTTTGGGGCGTATGATAGCAATTTTTACGGACTAGAGGCCGAAACGGGGCAATTACAATGGAAACTCGACGTTCGGGGCAGTCTTTTCTCGACGCCACTCTACTGCAAGTGGTCCAAGCAGCTTTTTGTCGCTGTCACGAACGGGAACGTCGTGTCGATAACGTCAACTTCTGATGATAACTTCAGGAGCATCCAAGAGCACTGGAGACTGCAACTTGCTGCCCCTGTGTTTGCAGGATTAAATGCCGACTTTGAACTCAATCTGCTGCTTGTCGGGTGTGCCGATGGGAACCTTTACGGTGTCACAATGACGACTGGAGAAATCCTGTGGCAAGTTGCTACCGAGAAGCCGATTTTTAGCTCGCCGTGTGTCTATCGACCTGGATCTGTGGTGTTTGGGTCCCACGACGGCATGTTGCGAAAGGTGGACTCCCGTACCGGAGAGCTCGTGTGGGCCACTTCTCTGAACGGCGCTGTGTTCGCATCTCCCATGGTTGTTCACCTTGTTGCAAACGGTGCTACTGAAGACGACAACTTGGTCTGCTGCGTGGCTACTACTACCGGCCAGCTGTGCTTTTGCGACGAGAGAACAGGAGCCATAGTGTACCAGACTGGCGATTCAACGGGAAAAGCCCCTAGCGACGCAATCAGGACTGCGAATGAGGGTGATCTAGGCCCGCTGTTCGGATCTCCCGTGATTATCGACTCTTTGTGTTTGCTGGGGACTCGGACGAATTACTTGTACGGGTTGGACATGATATCGACACGTCCTTAGCTTAATTCTGGCTCCATTGGATCATTTTCGACGAGCTTCCCGTTGGTTCTTGACCTCATTCCAGGCGTAAAAATTCCAGTCCTTATCGGGAGTCGTAGCGACGGAGGACGCACCGAAGAGCATGAGTTCGTATTTGGCCAGTTGCAGTCGGAAGGCCTGATTTGGCTGCACGATGTGCCGCTTGCGCTTCACCATGTTGTACGCTTCCAGTAGCGGCATCTTCTTGTCGATCATCAAATAGGCAACCAGAAGCGCAGGCGAGCGGGAAACACCTACGCAGAAATTAATTATGAGAGACTAAAACTAACTAAGGCACAGGACCTACACATGTAATCACCTGATATACAGTGGATGAGCACGCGTCCTCGTAGTCGCTCGACTCGTTTGATGAATTTGGAGACAGTCTGGAAATGAGGAATCAATTCTTCGTCCTGAGCATCGTGTAGGTTCAGCTTGAGGTAAATAAACTCGCCTTCGAAGCTGTTCCCGACCTGCGTGGCGCAGTTACAGATGTGGGTGATACCTAACACGTTAAGGAGTCGACTGTCTTCTGCATTCTCACGACTTCCGAGCAGTACGTGGCTCAAAATCACGGTTGGATCTTGGCACGTTGCTGTGCCTAAAGTACGGCTTATAAATTGTGCTAGTCGTCGGAAGATCGATTGTTCCTGTGCCAGGGCCTCGACGATCCGCCACTACAGTCAATACGGTTATTAGAGTACGGTTCGAGTACACATTAGAGCACGCTGTCCTTTTACCTGAGCTGCCATCACCGTATCCTCTTCGTCTGGATTTCGTTTGGAGTATGCCACGATCGACGTGCTCCGAATATGCTCGCCTTCCCGCTGCAACTCATGGCGACGCCCGAATTTCCGTGTGGATGCGTATTTCTGCAGGACTTTCGAGGAGCGCTGTCGACCGAGCAAGCCTGGCGAAGCGTGCGTAGACACCGACGTCTTCCGCGTACTGGTATCCGAAGCAATGCGATAAGAGCTGGGAGATCTCGGACGTTTGTGCATTTTACCTCGATTTGCTAAATCCAGACCAAAAACTTCCACTCCTGGCACGAGTCCTGCAGTCTTGAAATTAAAGAGACTGCGTATGCGTCCTCCGAGGTCCTCCTACAAATTACAAAAAAAAACGAGTTTCGACAGCGACCAAGTTGAAGCAACGATGGCTACATCCTTTCAAATCGGATCGCTAGTCACGTGCTGTCACACAACACTTGCGATAGAGGAAGTTGGCTTACGAGAGTATACAAACTCTCACTGAACGGCAGTCCACAGGTCTCCTTTGCCTAAAGGGAGCGAAGTGACCAATATAAGGTAGGTTGTAAACTGAGTATATTTATAGGTAGGCTAAGCTTGAGCTAAATTAACAAACTAAAAGTCACCTATAGAAAAGCAATGTCATCAGCCAATGGTTGGCCTCAGACGACCCTGGTACCATGTACCAGATATCCCGAAGTATGACGTGTCACACTTCATGTAGCTAGGGGTACACTTAGGGCTACGTACCCCGTTTCATCCTCCCCCACTTAGGTTCGGCTTACCGATCAATCAAAATGAGACAGTGTACGTCACAAACTCTCATTCTCGAAGTCGAAATACATCGGCTTGGCTGCGCGAGCGGCGGAGGCTCACTCTACAGTTAGAGCCTCGAGCAGCGGTTGAGCGATCTTCTTCTTGGTCTCCAAATCGACCTTTGGCATGCCCCGTGGCACTGCGAAGAGCGGCTCGAAAACACGCTCCAAGGCTGCTGCCGGAAAGGCCCAATCTAAGAGCACTAAGCCTCACGGCAAAGGCTCTACACTTTAGGAGACTACTAAGGTGGTCTCGGAGTCGATCGGCTCAACTGGTAACGCGGCAGTGAGCAAGCGCCGCTGTCCGTCGCCTTCGGTCTCCCTAGACAACCGGCCGAACCCTCGGTTCGCCGAACGTGAGTTCAACTCGGGCAGTGAGAACGAGTCCGAGTCCGGGAGCACTCACGATGCTCCTGTGGGATCCGTGGGAGCCCACTCCAGTACCCAGCGAGCACAATGACGAAAGCGTGCAGTCGCTCGCTAGTGATCACGGTGATCACAGGCCCAGGGCGTCTGTGCGCCTTGAGAGTCCTGCCATCAAGGCCAAGGGCACTCCCAAAGCTGGCGACGACGAAGAGGAGAAACCTCGCAAACATATCTCGCTTGCCGAGGGTCTTGCGTGTGCTAAGGCCGCCAAAGCCGAAGGCGCCAAGCCCTCTAAGAAGCTTACGGCTATGAAATCTTCACTCCACGAGGAGAAGCAGACTGGGTACTCCTCGGAACCTCTTTGGTTCCTCGGATAAAGAGGACGAGGAGAATAAAGGGGAGGGTGTTACTTCTGAGCCCCGGGAGACCACTAACGACCTCGATCAGCAGCAAGAGAACTTTTAAGCTGCACAGCGTACGCGTGGAGGTCCGTTGGTGGTATCCGTCAGCCAGGAAGCTGTCATCAACTCACGAGGTCATTGGTCTCCCGAGGAGAGCTCTGGGGCTGACCTCTTCTTCAAGGTTCTTGTCGCTCCTCGTGGTCTTGTTGGCTTTTAAGGGCGTTTGCGAACGTATCCTGGTCCAGATGGAGCAGTTGTTCGTCGACAATTTGGAGACGGCTCGGTGTGTGCTTTTTGCGCCGCACCGAATATCTCTAAAGGACTTCACGTCTTGTCGTAAGAAGCCCAAGAACTGGGGTGGTTTCTACCCTCCCTGGGGCTATCCCTGGGTTCTTCCCGAGAGCTGTCCCAGCTATAACTCATGTGATGACATGTTCTAGGATTGGGTGGAGTCTCTCAAGTACTTACCCTCGGATTAACGGGAACGCCATGAAAATCAGCTGCTGTCCCGCATCCTGGACCAGCGTGATCTTCGTGTCCGGTTCGCCCACTTGGTCAGCAAGCGCATGCTGCCAAGGGGTACTCTGAAGCGCACGGCTTCTAGCGCTCACGATGAGCGCGGGTACGGAAGTGTCGTCAACGTCGGTACCCCGCTCGGGCAAGAAGGTCCGGACTACTTATAAAGCTGCCGCCGCTTCTGTTCCCAGATTGCGACAGCCTTCGGGCAATCAATTAGGAGCCGCTTAATCGGCTCCCACGAGTTCTCGGAGTGGGCATAACCCCTCCACTTCACGAGGACCTGTTGCTTACCGCGACGTCGTTGCTCCTGAAGGATCCGCTCCACGTGGTCGTGGACTTCTCCATTGTGGTCAAGCACTGGCGGAGATGTCCTCGTACGAGTATGAGTACTCGGCGCCTTCGGAACGCTACTCTCATGCAAGTGCTTCATCTGCGGGTCCGCCGCAGGGCCCTGAGGTCGCCCGCCTTCGTCAACGCGTCCTCGTGCTTGAGATTGCACTTGGCCTCGGGACTGGCGGTGATGCTGCCGCCCAGGCCGGGAATCAGGGCGTGCTCGCTCGTCTTGCGGGTCGCCTGGACCTGTTGGGGCGTGAGGTCTCGTTCATGCATCTACGGGTGGACCGGCGGGCCTCTTCGTCCGATCTTGACGAGGCCTTCCGCATGATCCGACGTATCGAGGCTCTGCTGCCACACTGGAGATGCATTTGGCGCACTCCCAGTCGAATGCGTATGGTGCGTACCCGGCGTACTCAGCGTACTCGGCGTATGGCGCCGGGGTCCGTTCATACGGAGCCCCTCCGGCGTACGGCCTTGACCGCAGCCTTGCCGCTCCGACCGAGGCTTGGGTGCCTGCTCCGACGACCTCGTCGACGTGTGTGACCGGCCCTCGCTTTGAGGAGTTGTGCCAAGGTGGGTCGGCGAGTCCGCAACCCCCTGCGGATCATAGGACCGCTTAAGACGTCCAGCGTAGAGCGTCGGGTGCGTCGTCATTGACTTGGGCAGGTCGATGGTGCACGACACATCATGCATGGCCAGGACTGCGAACGGTCCAATGAAGCGGTGCTTCAGCTTGTTGCTGCCGACAGAGCTGACAGTGTCTAGCGGTAGGTTCATCGTGTCTAATAGCACTAATCCCCCCACTTTAAATCCATTTGAGTTTCCTCTTCCATGTTTGTCAGAGTACTCCTTCTGTCTGTCCTGGACCGATGCCATGGCATCTCGGACCCTGCCGATCACGCTCAGCTTGGTATCCACAAAGGATTCCACCTGTTTCCGCAGCGAATCCGGTCTCACATCTGAGACCGGGGAGAAAGAGCTTTCCGAGCCCCCTCCCCACTTCGAATAGAGAATGCAGTGTCTCCTCGAAGAGAGAAAGAGACACTCTGGGGTAGCGGAAGCCATTCAGATAAAACGGCGTGAGCCCCATGGACGCGTGCACCGCGTTGCTGAGCGCAAACTCAACAAATGGAAGCTGCGTCGACCACGTAAGTGGTGCTTCCGTGCACACACTGCGCAGAGTGTCCTCGAGCACTCGATTGACGCGCTCTGTCTGTCCGTCCGTCTGTGGATGGTCCACAATGGACATCGGCAGCCGAGCTCCCAGTGAAGGGTATAGCGTTTTCCAAAACGCAGCCGTGATGCGCGGGTCTCGGTCCGAGACAATCGTCTCCGGGAGACCGTGATAGCGGAACATGTCATCGACGAACAACCTCGCGGTTTGTTCCACCTGTGACGGTAACAGGTACTGGAGCCAGATGTACCATCTTGCTCAGCCGACACACGAACACTAAAGTCCCTGTGTTGCCGTGTCCGTCGGCGGGAAGCCCAAAGATGAAGTCAAGACTCATTAACTTCCAACAGCCAGCGGCATGGGGCAAGAAGATCTTCATGCCTCAATTATGTAACAGAGGTATGTTCGCAAACGGGGTATTGAGAGCCCTTCAGAAGTCGATAACGGTAGATTTACTAAGCAGCGTATTTCAGATTTTGATAATGGTTCATCGACAGCCTCTGATCAAACTAACAGCATAATCAAGCTGTTTTGGCTGACATCGAGAAGCAAGGCCTTACTCGAGGCTAAAGGTTTAGTGGAAGCGATCGTACCACATCTCATTGGATCGGCCAAATCTGACCCGATTGATAGAGATGGGTACATCTGGATTGATTATAATTCAATTTCTGTCTTCAAATTGCAGTCTAATCATCCTAAGCAGGCTATGCCTAAAAACGTCAACTGAATAACCACTCTACAGCCATTCGTTCCTATGACTAAGGGATGATGCATTGAGCTGGTGTTCGCTGGAAGCAAGGATAATGAATTGGATATCAATGAATTCGTTTCATCCGAAGGCGAGCCTCATCAAGGGGTGTTAAGCGAAGTTCATGAAGGGATGTATTCAACCAAGAGTAATGTTGATAACGAAGCTAAGGCAATTCTAGAAGCATTCTACACGAAGCTAAGAGATAACAAAGTATCCATCCCATACCGGCTAGGTCCGGCGTATGGTACTAAAGACGACCCCAAACACATCCAACCTATTACATCGGACAGCCAACCGCTACCTTTTTAATCAATGTCCGCAACGCTTAGCAGCGGAATCCTTCGGAGGAGCACATCGTATAGTACTCGTCAACTGTGGACGGCATATTTTCAATCCAAATGAGCATGTGAGAGTGAAGCGATCCCGTTGAATTTTGTGATTCTGTTGCAGCATAAAATGATTTTGTGTGACCGAAGAGTCCTGAATCCTTTTGAGAACAGCCTTGATCTGAATCCCGATTCAAAACTACATCGATGAAAATGTCCATCAAGCGATCAAAATGTCTATATCATAAACCGTTAGTCTGTGCTTTTGATAGGGTACAATGAGTTGCATCACAACTTACCTTGCACAAATGGCTG